TTTTCTACAATCGAGTTTGGAGCAGTTTATCTTAAGTTTGTATCTATTGTGTGCTCCTGCATTGTTGTGGTTGAAGTAGTCATTGACAGGTAGGACATTGTAGCAGATAATTTTGTGTACTACGCTTAGGTCAGACCTAAGCATAATACATAAAAGAGTATGTGTATGTTCAGACCAGTGGTGGGTTTCAAATAATTTAACAACCGGTTCTCTGTCCTAAGGAGCAGCTGGGTAGGTGTGGCTCAATGGTCATGTGACTGGGTGGGCGTGACCAACTCAAGGTCACTCAGGTCGATGGGCGCTTCGCCTTAGCTGTTACAATGTAATAAGGGTTAACCAGAGAGGCTGTTTCTGGAAGCAGGCCAATCAAGATTAGTCTAGAAGCAACACCAGAATGTTTCCTTCCTGCCTTCCTTACAGGATTAGCCCTGTAAAGTGGAAAAAAATAAAATGAGATTTCTTCCAACAACTGGTTCGTCGGACTGCTTAGAAAGTTAACAACCGGTTCTCCCGAATAGGTGCGAACTGACTGAATCCCACCACTGACTTATGACTATTGCAGCATCCCATCGTCACATGATCAAAATCCAGACACTCAGCAGCAGACTCATATTTATGACGGGGGTCCCGTGATCCCCTTTTGTGACCTTCTGGCAGGCAAAATCAATAGGTAAGCCAGATTCAATTAACAACCCTGTTACTCACTCAACAAGTACAGAGATTCACTTAACAACTGTGGTGAGAAAGGTCGCAAAACGGAGGCCAAAGTTGCTTTAACATCTGTCTCACTTAGCAACAGAAATATTGGACTCCATAGTGGTTGTAAGCCAAGGACTACCTTTATTCCTTTCTTTTTTCCCCTCTAAAAGAGTTTGCAAAGTTTATTCACTTCCCAAAAAGTTGGTGTAGGAAGTTAGCGCCTCTCCTAGAAAAATGAAATATTCTAGGGAATATTAGAAAGGCAGAATATTATATTTCCCTGGATGAGAAATAGAGAAACATGTTTTCAGGCAGGAAACAAACTCTTAATATCCCCCGCTCCTTAATAGCCCACAGCAGATGTCAGCGCTTAAGAGATAAAGAGATGGCTGGATCTATTCATAGGCAAATGCCCTCACCCAAGATCCAACAAAGGTAGGATTAGCTCTTTATCCATCTCACTACATGGCACCTGGGAAGATTACATCACATGGCCCCATGGGAGTCTGACAACCAATCAGAATACAAGCTCAAATTCAAAAGCTCAGAGAAGGCATACAATCCAGGCACTCTCAGCATCTCTTCNGTCTCTGTATGCTGGTTTGTGTGTTCTCCAACACAACTCTCACAACGCTTCGCTGAACACACTCGCACTATCAACGGGGAGCTTACCTAACAGGCATGCACAACGTTGTCAGCTACTCTTCTGGTTTCCGGTGTGCATGTCCCCAAGACCAGCTGGCTCGTGTGCATAGGCACGGGCTTTGGTTTTCCGGTGCTCTGGCACATGCAAAGGCCATGTGTGTGCTGGAAACCCAAAGACCATGTGGCTGGCACACACATGTTCACCATCCAGCTGGTCTTTGGGTTTCTGGGATTCCGGGTGCACACATGCGGGCATGCATGTTCCAGATTGCACACTCAATGCCGAAAAGTTTCGCCTTCACTGCTCTAGGGCTAAGTGCTCATCTCTGTTTCTCAGCCAAAGGAGCCAGAGCATGCCCATGCGCAGAGCAATTTTAATTGTACTTTGAGTCCAATGTGCACGCACGCAGAGTACGTGTCTGGTGCACAAAATTGTGCTTGCACTGAACCGGCAGTAAAGCCGGCAGCAACCCACTCCTGGTGTGACTATCTGCCAAAGGTGCATAGAATGCTGTTATCTTCCCACCAAAGTGGTATCTATTTATCTACTTGCATTTGCGTGCTTTCAAACTGCTAAGGGGGGAGAGCGGAAGGGAAGGAGGGGAGGGGAGGGGAGGAAGGAAGGACCTGGAAGTCCTTTCTTTCTTTAATGTCCCTGACACAGTGGAAGAGTTTCTCTCCAAAACCCTGGTTCTTTTGGGCTGTCATTTATTGCTCCTTCAGAGGACCATGAAAAAGAATCCTCTTGGAAAGGATGCACAGGGGTTCTAGTGAAGATGTCAAGCTGACTTTTTCTCTTTGTTTGGATTTTATTCTAGCATAACTGCTCTTTCATGCATTTATTCATTTGATGGAGGCTGAGAGGACAGTGAAGTTGTTTGTGATTGCTGTGTATTTTATTCTGCTTGTTCTGTAAACCGCCTTGAGTTGGTTTGATTGGGCAATATTTCTGTATATGTAATCCATCAATCANGGTTTATCGGGCTGAGGATTTGGCTTCCTACTGTTGGGGAAGCCTAGGTCAGAAAACTGACATGGACCAATTCTGGTTGATGGACTAGAGGTTGAAGACTCCTGGATTACACAGTACTTATTGGTACAGTAGATAAAATATACATTCACTTAACAACTGCCTCAAAAAAGGTAATAAAATCATGGGTGGTCACATGGTGACCTTAATTACTGGCACGATTTACGATCATAATTCCAGCTTCAATGATGGTCATAAATCAAGGACTACCTGTAGATCTTGGATTGTCCACCAATTAGTCCCCTTAGGGAAGAGAAAGTCAAGACATGTCCCCTCTTTTTGGATAGTTAAGTTGGCATTTCGTCCTGTTGTCAATTTCACTACCCCATAGTATCAGAATAACAGATCCAGGCAATAATCCCTTAGTTTCACTGAGGGAGGGAGGAAGCTCTCAGAATAAATTTTCTCTGCCTGTAGAAGCAACCTGCATTGTCCCCCAGAGGCGTCCCATAAATAAAATTTGATGGAGCCACAGCTTTGAAACATTGCGTCTGACAGCAGGAAGAAATCTCAGTTTCCCCAAATACTTATCCTAAAAGCAGTTGCGGAAGAGCCTGGTTTTTTTTTTTTTTTTGAAAGAAAATGGGATTTGGAAGAGAGAATAGAATGGAATTACAGAGTTGGAAGGGACCTTGGAGGTTTTCTAGTCCAACCCC